TTCTGGACCATGCTACATTAAAACCAGGTCTGGTTCTGTTCTGGACCTCACTACATTAAAACCAGGTCTGGTTCTGTTCTGGACCATGCTACATTAAAACCAGGTCTGGTTCTGTTTTGGGCTCAGGAACACTTCCACCGATCACTGTCGGTCACAGTTCATACACAAAGCTTAAAGCTCTATCAGACAAAAAAGAAGCTACATGTGAACACCATACAGAACCGCTGCTGTCTTCTCTGGACCAAAACTCATTTCAAGTGTACTGAGGGAAAGTCCAGAACTGTTATGAGTTCAGACGATCCAAATTCAAGATTCAGATTCAAAAGTTCAGTTTGTAAACCACAGAGAGGAGGGGGACCATCCAGACTTTTATCAGCTCAAAGTTCTAAAGCCAGCCTCTCTATTGGTATGGAGGTGCATTAGGTGGTGATGGAGATGACAGTGTCTGTCTGGTCTGGCATGGGAAGCTCACACATCTGGAAAGACACCAACAATAAAGAACCATATTTGCCGTTTTTAAAATAATATCCAGGACAGCTGAGCAGTCAGAATCCTCCTTCAGGATTAGACAACATCCCCTCCAAAACCTCCAATAACTGGTCCCCTCAGGTCCTCAACCTACAACAGCTGGTCTCCTCAGGTCCTCCAAAACCTTCAGTACATGGCTTCCTCATGTACTACTCAACCTCCAAGAACTGGTCTCCTCAGGTCCTCCAAAAGCTTCAACAACAGGTCTGCTCAGATCCTCCAAAACTTCTAAGAACTGGTCCCCTTAGATCCTCCAAAACCTCCAACATCTAGTCCCCTCAGAGCCTTGAAAATCTCTAACAACTGGTCTCATCAGGTCTTCCTAAACCACCAGCAGCTGGTCTCCTGAGATCCTTCAAAACCTCCAACAACTGGTCAACTCAAGTCCTCCAAAATCTCAAACAACTGGTTTCAGCAGGTCTTTCTAAACCTTCAGCAGCTGGTCTCCTCAGATCCTCCAAAACCTCCAACATCTGGTCACCTCAAGTCCTCCAAAATCTCAAACTGGTCTCGTCAGATCCTCCAAAACTAGTCTCCTCTGGTGCTACACCACATCCAACAACAAGTCTCCTTAGGTCCTCCAAAACTACCAACAACTGGTCTACTCAGGTCCTTCAAATCCTCCAAGAACTGTTCTCCTCAGATCCTCCAAAAGCTCCAACAGTTGGTCTCCTAAGGTCCTCCAGAACCACCAACAACTGACCTCTAGACATTTTCAGACTTTTGTTAAAGAAAAGATGTTTCAGATGTAAATATGGCCATGGCCCAACCTTTTTGAGATGAGTTGCTGGCATCAAATCAAAATGACCTTATTTTATTATTATTATTTTTGTATTTTATTTATTTATTTATTTATTTATTTTACAATTTTTTTTTGTTTCAACAATTGTCATAATTCCTATAGTTCATTGTGAATGAAATATGAGTTTATGAGATTTGCAGCTCATTGCATTCTGGTTTTATTTACATTTTAAACATCGTCCCAACAATAATGATACAAGATGCTAAAAGAAAACTGGGGGTGAAGCGAAGAACCGACTCATCCGGTTCCTCTTACCACAGGTGTTGGTTGTGACGTCCCTGTTGCAGATCTCGTTGGCCAGCCTCTCAAAGTACTCGGGCAGGTCAGCGTACTCGTCACCATAAGAGATGACCTTGATGCCCTTGTCCAGCATGTTGTCGCGCAGCTTCTTGAACTCCCCCACGTCTTCCCGGCGCACCAGCATGAAGTGTTCCAGGTCTGACTTGTGTTTGACCGCCTCCAGGAACAGGGCCTGGAAGGTGGTGTCGTCTACTGTGCGCCCGCAGCCGAGGAACACAAAAGACTTGGTCTCGTACAGCTTCTGGATCTCACGCTGTTAAAAACACCAGAAACACAGAAAGCTTCTTTGACCAACAGTTGCTGGAAAAAAAATTTGCTGCAGCATTTTTAAATATTAAAAATACGATAAAAAGAAATGGATAGACGAACTTTTTAATGTCTGTGAAAAGGCTGTATGAAGACTGACTACAGAATAGGATGAAATGGAGTTGTTAAAGCTGAAAAGAGGAAAACACTAGCAAAATACTAGAAAAAGATAACTGCTAGATAAAATCTAAAAATAGCAATACACCAGCTAAAAGTTTAGAAAACACCAGCTAAAAGATAAACATGGCAACAGTGTAGCTAAAAGTTACAAAAAGGTGTATTAAAACAGTAGATAGAAAATAAAAGTAGTAAAGGATTAGCCAAAATCACCTAAATTTAGCTAAAGGATAATAGAAGCAAAGGGAAAGCTAAAAGTAGAAAAAAAGCTAATTATAGCTATAAATAGCCAAACGCTAGTTAAAGGTTAAAGCAGCAAAATGTTAAAAAGTTAAAAACAACAAAATGCAAAATGAAACTACAACCTAAAAGTAGCAAAAATCTGACTAAAAGATAAGAATATCAAAACAATAGCTAACAACTAAAATAATAAATGACTGCATCCATATTTCTCCTCTTTGTCTTTTTTCCTGGCAGCTGTATTCTTCTACCAATATATCCACTGTCCCTCCTCTTGACATCTCCAAACCATCTCAGTCTGGTCTCTCTAACTTTATCTCTCAGTTGTTCAAGCTGTGCTGTACCTCTGATGATCTCATTCCTAATCTTATCCATCCTTGTCACTCCTAAGGAGAACCTCAACATCTTCATTTCTGCCACTTCCAGTTCTTTCTCCTGTCTTTTTGTCCATGTCTCTGTCTCCAGACCATACAATATAGCTGGTCTCACAACTGTCTTGTAAACTTGTCCTTTGACCTTTGCTGACTCCTTTTTGTCACAAATCACTCCTGAAACTTTTCTCCATTCACTCCATCCTGCCTGGACTCTCTTCTTCACCTCTTTACCACACTCCCCATTTCCCTGGACAGTGGACCCTAAGTACTTGAAGTCCTGCACCTTTGTGACCTCTGCTCCTTGTAGCTTCACTGTTCCACCAGCCTCCCTCTCATTCACACTCATGTACTCTGTCTTACTACGGCTGACTTTCATTCCTCTTCTTTCAAGTGCATACCTCCACCTCTCCAAGTTCTCTTCCACCTGTTCCCTCTTCTCACCACAGATCACAATGTCATCTGCAAACATCATAGTCCGCAGGGATTCCTGCCTGACCTCATCTGTTAGTCGGTCCATCACCAGAGCAAACAAGAAGGGGCTCAGAGCCAATCCTTGATGGACTCCCACCTCCACCTTGAAGATATCTGTCACTCGTACAGCACATCTCACCACTGTCCAGCTGTCCTCATACATGTCCTGTTGTACCAGTCAAACATACTTCTCTGCCACTCCAGATTTCTTCATGAAATACCACACCTCCTCCCTCGGCACCCTGCCATGCTTTTTATAAATCCACAAAGACACAATGAAGTTCTTTCTGATCTTCTCTGTACTTCTCCATCAACATTCTCAAAGCAAAGATGGAATCTATGGTGCTCTTTCTCGGCATGACACTATACTGCTGCTCACAAATAGTTTTCTGGTCTTCTTCTCTGATTTTACTCTTTTTCTATTATTCACAACAACAGTCATTCTACATACAATCATCCAGTGCTGTTTGGCCATGCTCTTCCCTGTCACAACCTTACAGTCCCCAATCTCCCTCAGGTTTTCTCTTTTACACAGAACATGGTCTACCTGTGTATTCCTGCTTCCACTCTTATAGGTCACTCTATGTTCCTCCCTCTTTTGAAAGTAGGTGTTGACTACAACCATTTCCATTCTCGGTAAAATCCCCCACCAGCTGTCCTTCCTGGATTCTTTCTTTGACACCAAACCTACCCATCACTTAGTCATCCCTTATGTTTCCTTCACCAACATGTCCATTCAGGTCTGCTCCGATCACCACTCTCTCCTCCCTGGGAATACTCTCTATCAGTTCATTCAGATCATTCCAAAATGTTTCTTTCTCCTCATCACATCCAACCTGTGGAGCATAACCACTGACAACATTTAGCATAACACCGTCTACTTCTATCTTCAACCTATCTGACACTTTTTTTCACCTCTACTACATTGTTTGCCAACTCCTCCTTCAGGACCACCCCTACTCCATTCCTTTTTCTATCCACACCATGGTAAAATAGTTAAACCCTGCTCCAACGCTGTGAGCCTTGCTGCCCTTCCACTTGGCCTCTTGGACACATAAAACATCTACCTTCCTTCTCTGCATCATGTCAGCCAGCTCTCTACCTTTGCCTGTCATTATCCCCACATTTTAGAGTTGCCACCCTAAGTCCTCCATTTTAGACTTTCCTCTTCTCCCTCTGTCTCCTGACACACTTCCTCCTCGTGGTCTTCAACTAACAGTAGCACAATTTCCACGGACACCCTTTTTGTCAACAGCACCAGGTGGCAGTTGTTAATCTGGGCCTCAACTGATCCATTACGGTGTTGCTTAGATAAACTTGCATGTTAGTTTTTCCAAATGTTTATTCTTTGAATGCCCTTCTTGACAACCCCCACCATTTACCCAGACTTGGGCCCAGAACCAGAGAAGGTACAAGCGTACTCACTAGTGCTCCTTACTGGCAGGTTTAGAAAACAACTGTAAACAAAGTTAAGTATTTTAAAATGCATAAACTTTCAAAACCCAAAAGTTTTGGCACCCATTTCTTGAATGAACTGAACATTTTAATATATGAATGTCCAAACAAAAACACGGTCTGCAGACATCGTTAGATTCTAAAATAAATGTCCGGAAAAACGAAGAACAGGGAACAGTGGAGGGAATCACAGTGCTCACCATGACCTCGGTGTTCCTCAGTACGTTCTGGTATCCAGCAGGGTGCAGCACGATACCACTGGGGTTGGTGTAAACACCGTGGATGTGCAGAACACTTAACCTCCTCTTCTCCTGAGCCCACTCTAACACCTAGACATGCACAAGAAAATACACACATTTAACAGCTCACTGCACAAAATCCTGTTCTGGCCAGGTGGGGAGTCAAATCACTAAAGAGTAGTGGGAGGATATTAGGCCTGATGGAGCCGAGGCATAAATACCAGGACTGAGAGGCAATAAGGTCACACTCTGAACTAATCTGTGTTCAATTATACCATGAAACCAACGTGTCACGTTAAACTAAGGAGACTTCAAATGACAACAAAATGAGACAACATACGCTTTCAGTCCAGTCTTCAAACAAGAACAAATATTTTCCGATCTATAAAAATGGACATTTTAACTTTCCGAAACAAAGATTCATTCTAGTCAAGGCCTTATCTGTTTCTCTGAAATCAGCCAACGAGGAACTTCACTTGTTCACGCGTCACAAATAAAGACACACAGTTCTGTCTGCGAGCTCAGCCACATGGTCATGAAAAAACTAATTTCTTTAAAGAAGGTTTACAGGATCCACATCTGAGGACAGATGTTACATAGAATATAAAATTCAATTTAAATGTAACATTGAACAGTCTTTTAAAACCTTTCCAACCCTAACATAACATCCAAGCGTTCACTTCAAGACATGCATAAATGACCTTTGCACATGTCTGATAGAACAAAAGAAGCTGACTGCAGAAAAGATCAATGAAACTACTTTCACTCCGCAAGTCTTAATGCTCAGATCCAATGTTTTAGTGTGGCCGTTTACATTGCAACTTAAATGCATTCATTCATTTTCATTTCCCTGGATATGGGAAATGAAAAAAAAAAAGACAAAGCAACTGGACTTCTGTTCTGTAGCTGAAGACGTGTGGAGTTCCCAGTTTAAAACTGCATGGCATTGGTATCAATATCCTCAACATGTGGATCGATCTGCTCACCTCGACCTCACTGAATGATCGTTCAGACTGAGGTCACTTTGAAAAACATCAGATATGGACCTGATTTAGTACCACACATAAAAAAAAATACATGGGTTTATATAAGCAATGACTGTAATTTGAAAAATCTGACATGGGTCACATATGAGCTAAATAATAAATAAATTGGATTTGGGCCTCTTTTGCATGCAGAGTGAAAATAACCATAGAGACTCGGCACGGTGGAAAATGGGTTTACCTTCTTCTCGTCTGTCAGATCCAAAGACTCCAGCTTGGTGCCCTGGTGGGCGGCGTAAATCTCCAACAGGTTGTCGAAGTTTGTGGTGAGAACCAGCGCCCCGCTCTCCATTAACTGCAGAACTGAGCGTAAAAGATGCTTTCCTGCATGCTCCATCTTGCACTCCAAGTCGTCAAACACTTCGTACAGACAGTCTTTGAAGAAGGTGGAGCGCACATTCCCGGTCCTCTAAAAGAAGGCAAAAGTACATAAAACGTAGGTAGTTAATGTTTAAATGTACAGGTAAAGTGATGAACTGCTGTAACTTTATTGCAAAAAATACAGAAATAGGTTATTACATGACAATCTGTACACATGGTATTCCAAACAAAATAATAATTTAATTATAACAATTAAATATTAGCTAAATAACAGTTTATATCTCTACTGATTTGGTAAAAGTGTCAAACATTGAGTCAAACTGACATGTTGGGACTGGTCTGAATACATATACAAATAATGTTATGACCCCTCGAGACATCAAGTGCAGAAAAGAAAATGAAGCTTCAATGTGAAGTCTCATTTTAAACTCAAACTGAAACTTTTTATTAGGCCTAATTTCTGATGTCATGTGACCTGGCAGGATGTGGATAAAGGTGCCTGAAATAAAATGTAAGTACAAGTTGAATACCTCAATACTTGTACTGCAAAGAACAACAAGTGGTACAGCAATGCCCCCCGTCACTGATGGATTTGAATAGCGAATGTTTGTAGTTTTGGAAATGAGTGTTTTTCTGGATCAAACAGAGAATGTAAGTAAACCTGAAAGTTTTGGCGCAAAATACTCAAGTGGGTAGGAGTTACACTGTGTAGGAGAAAACTGGGATGTGTTTGCATTTCTTGTTCGAGACAGCGCAGAGTAACTGATTATCCAACACCAGGTGCAATGAAGGAGCCAGGGGGTGGCCAATGGTGGCCTTGACCACCACAGAATATTCTTCGGCCACCCCAATCATTTGGGGGAACTTTTAAGTAGTGGTGGGCGGATCGATATTTGGATCGTAATATCGATACCATCATTGGTATCAATGTTGATAAATACCAGTGTAATGAGATCGATACTTTAGCTTCAGTTTCTTTCTTGTATGCACTGCTGCTGTTTCATCAAAGATGCGAGCCGACTGTCTGTGTAAGTGACACTGCTGTCACAGCACAGAGCAGGCAACTTTGCTCCGCCCCTACCCACAGTGTTTTGATGTGTGACTCAGCGGCGCCGGACAAGCAAGCAAGCCCGACCCAGCAGCAACATGCACGCATAAGCAGCGCCGAGACGGAGCAGAGAAATGACAGAGAGGAAGAGGAGCGCTGCGTGGCTATATTTTCAGGTCGAAAATGAAACAACGGCAAGCTGTTTAATTTGTAAATAGGCTGTAAGATACAGTGGTAACACAACAAATTTATACAAGCACATGAAAAATCGTGGAAGAATGATCCAAAGGAAAAATCACAGCACACTTAAACGTCATCAAAATTCACTGTAATTATTAAAAAGTATCGTATTGGTATCAGTATCTGCAATACTGGACCTGTATTTACTTGGTACACCACTACTTTTAAGCAAAATAAAAACACAAAGCATAGTTTCCTCAAATGATAGGTGTGGTCGGTTTACACCCCCACCATATGTTGTGGTGGCCATCTTGTTTTTTAACGCAGCAACCCAATTTTTATAGGGATTTGGCACCACTCATGTTCAGCTGCTGTTTCATATACAGTAGTACCTCGCTACTTTGCGTTTCGACTTTAGTGGACTCGCTCTTTTGCGAGTTTTAAAAGTAAGATTGGACATGACGCACAATTGGCTGATTGATGAATGAGCTGCAAGATCAGCATGGACTTTTTTATTTAAAATAAATTAGTTAAAATTATTTAGCACCTGCTGCACCTGTGTGCAGCCCAGATGTGCAGGGACAAGCTCCCTCCTGCAGCGTGTTGTTCTCCGCTCTGCAGTGAAGTGGGCGTGGCCAAGAGTGCTGGTAGGTGCAGAGAGAGCGGAGAACATGACATGCTTTGCTCTTGTAGAGCGTTTAGGCTTTAGAAACATTGCATGAGTGTGGGAAGGGTTTAAAACACCTTATATATATATATATATATATATATATATATATATATATATATATCTGTGTGTGTGTGTGTTTGTGTTAAAAAAGGGCAGAATAGTGGCGCAACTGGTAGAGCTGCTGCCTCTCAGCGAGCAGGTCCCTGGTTCAAATCTCGGTCCGGGGGCCTTTCTGGGTGGAGTTTGCATGTTCTCTCCGTGCATGCGTGGGTTTTCTCCGGGTACTCCGGTTTCCTCCCACAGACCAAAAACATGCATGTTAGGCTGACTGGTAACTCTAAATTGTCCCTAGGTGTGAGTGAGAGAGTGAATGTTTGTTTGTCTTGTTTGTCTCTATGTGGCCCTGTGATGGACTTGCCACCCGTCCAGGGTGTACCCCGCCCCTCGCACAGTGATTGTTGGACATGGGCACCAGTGACCCCCGTGACCCAAAATGGAAGAAGCGGGTAAAAGATAATGGATGGATGGATATATGTTAAAATAAACTTCTACTTACTACTTGTACTACTATTCCTACTTCGCGGTTTTTCACTTAAAGCGGGTGGACTAACGGATAAAGGAGGTACTGTATTATTTACATTATTATTGTTCAGCATATATCTTAGATCCTTGTATACTGTGTCATTCTATACTTTATATGACTCACTGTGGTGAACCCTGAAGATGGAAAAGGCAAAAGAGGAAGAATATATATATATATATA